TTTTACGGGGCCGTGCGTAGCCAGCACGCATAACGAGGGGCTAAATTTGATAAATTCAAGTTGTAGATAAGTTGAGAACATTTTCTGAAAGTTTCAGCCTATCAGCTTCCCTGGTTCCGAAGTTGTTCATTTTCCCGCCAAAAACTTTCATGGGGCCGTACGTGGCAGCCACGCAAATTGGGGGGCTGAATTTGATAAATTGAAGTTGTAGATGAGTTGGGAACATTTTCTGAAAATTTTAGCTTCCCAGCTATCTTGGTTCCCGAGCTAGCGATTTTCGCGCCAGGAACCCTCGGGGGCTGTACGCGGGAACCACGAATCCCCGGAGGCTGAATTTGAAATCTTTAAGTTCTACTTGGACTGGAAACATAATCCCAAAAATTCAGCTTTCTAGCTTTTCTGGTTCTCGAGTTAGCGATTTTCCCGTCAAAACTTTGAGGCGCTCGTACGCGGGGCCTAGACTTGCTTGAGGGTTGGTACCGCGGTCTGGGTGTCGAGTTGAAATACCCGGACAGACGCACACACACACATACACACACAAACACCGGGTTCGTCACAATATGTATTTTTGCATATTATGCAAAAACGCATAATCGTCACAATATGTGCTTTTGCATACTATGCAAAAACGGATAAAAATATATGAATACCAGAGCAACGCAGGAGACATTGTGAAACGTTTTTGAACAGAGGTCTAGAAAAATCGCTTGTAAAATAACGAAATGTTTTCGTTTTGGGCCTTTTAATAAATTCTACTGTTTATTCATCTACATAATAGGTTCAACGCCTTTTCTCATTGCTTTTTTCGGTGAGTAATCTACATTCCGGTGAAAAGTAATCTACAGTTAAGAAATGTTTTTTGCTGGCAACGCTTTTCGACTCGAACAAGTGTCTTTAAAGCTGGCCCTGAAGAAATTTTTACATATAGCTTCCTCGCCTTCCAGAGAACTCAGATCTGGATTCGAAACTAACATAAAGTTGAATTCGAATTTAAGAACTCAAGCCCGGATTCGAAATTAAATTCAGAAGTAAGAAACATGAATATTAACCTTTCAGATCACTGGGAAACGTATTCTCAAAACTTTCTGTTAGGATCTCGTTTGGCTTAACCATGATTCTTCTATACTACTGGCCCTTGGGATTTTGCTACGGTGCGTGACTCTTCTGCCTTAACCGCGTCAGATAATTGCCATGCCGCTCAAATTCTCTTCATGCGCTAACTGCAGTAACTTACAGCGCA